GTTATCTGACAAAGTGGTATCGAAAGCCAAGTAACAAGAACATTCTTGTTTATTTCTTTTCTTCCCACCCTTCACACACAAAGAGGGCGATTGTGAGAAACATGTTTTGAACAGCCACCTCTATGTGCACTACCAGGGAATTAAAGGAAGAATCGCGCGACTTGGCTCTGCAATTAGCCATCTCCAATGGCTATGAAATAGTAACCCCACGAGAAAAGTTTACAAGGAGAACGACGCGCCCACGCGAAACACTTGGCCAAAAGAAAATCCCGTTCATGTTGCCTTTTATAAGCGATGGAGTAAGCGTAGCTATAAAACGATGCTTAAGAAGGGCAAGTCTAGAGGAATCGGTAGCGATAGTTGAAATACCACCGGCTACTCTACTTCGCCAATTAGTTCGTAACCGCCTGTATGACCGTCTGTGTGAAACAACAAATTGCGTAATTTGCCCTTACGGCAGGGACGGTGATTGCATGAGTTCAGGTACGATGTACCTGATCTCTTGTAATGATTGCGGAGATAAATATATTGGCGAAACGGGCAGACCTTTGTGTATCCGTATAAAAGAACACCTAGATGGCAAACGAAAACTAAGACAAAGCACCCCACTAGGCACGCATAGGATACAAAAGCATAGCGGAGACGATTTTGAAGTAAAAGTCAATATCCTTGCACAAGAGTCCAAAACACCAGCGCGAAAACTTCTTGAGGCCTTTTGGAGAAATGCCAAAAACCCTACAATGAATAGCAGGCATGAATGCCCGGAGGTCATACGCGACCTGATCCCGTATCATCGCATCAATTTCTAATGTGGGATGGTGCAGCCGTCAACCACATGCGACTATAATCAGCTGTTCTAAACTTCCTCGTTGGAAGTCACGAAAAAGCGGTGTGTTTTTCGAGAAGCTGTTGATCATGTAATTACCAAAGAGAAGCGTTTGGCCTAGTAGATTGTATATCAGTGCACCCTTCCAGGCTCTGAAGAAGGCGATACTGCCGAAACGTCAGCTAGCGTTGTATTGTATTGTGTTTCTCTATGGAAGTAAATGTATGCTGTTTAAAAACGTCGCGATTGCTGAACAAGAAAACGACACATTCATAAAAAAGGAGATTTCATCGCAACGGCACAAGAGTAAAGTTTACAAAACTGTAGATGAGTTTTAATTCAAAAAAGAGAAACTATCGAAATTAACCGAAGAACCACATGCTCCGCGGCCCAACAAACGTGTTACTTATTGCTAGATTGGTGTTCTAATCTATGCTAGGCATACTACATCCATTGCGAACAATTCTGTTCTTGGACCAAAACAGAAGTAAACAACAAGCACGGCGGGTATTTTATGATTACGTTTCTTTGTGGTTGAATTTTAGTTTTCAATATTTACGACCACCACTCGATAACATAATAGTAAAATTGGAAAAAGATTACATGGAAGTGGAAGTTGATAGCCAGTATTTATCATACATTCGAAAAGAGGAACAAATGATGACCAATTTAAACATCTCTAGATGCCCAGTGACGAATCACTGAGAGGGTGCATTGTCACCAGTGTTTTCAGGTCGACTTTTTAACCTGAGATAGGCACATTCTCACCATGTAAAGTTTGTGCGGCTGGTCGTTATCAGTAGGCGAAAGCCATGCCACGGTGATAAATGCCCTGAAGATGTTTTCGGGACTGAAATTTAAGCCCAGCGCTTTTTCTCCTAGATGTTACAAAACTACCTATCGGAATAAATTTCCAATATTTGTTGTTTACCAGATAGCGAATCGTTTTAAACAGGAAAAGGAGAAATCCGACGAAGCATTAGTCGTTGTAGCATAAATGTTGCACTAACAATTTCGTGTTTACTTCAGGAAATCATAAGGTATGTGCTTGTTTCGAGCAAAAGATATTGATCGAGAACTCAAAATGACTTGGTTCTAAAGATGAGGAAGAAAGAACCAACGCCTTCGGGAAGTTACAGGAGAATTGAAGGTGCAGTAAAGAAGACAATAAACACCCACCTCCATGAAGGTCATTTCGAGTGTATGATTGTCCCTCCTTTTACGTGCGCATCAAAAACCTAGACGCTGTATTAAGACGAGGATGAGGGAACATTTAGTGTTATCGAATGCGCTATTGAAGGTTGATTCAACCAGTGGAAGAGGAAATCGGAAGTTCTGGCACACATAGAGAGAAAGAAAAGCGAAGACGTGTCTATGTACGTGAAGATGCCGCGAATGAGTTGCACTGGAGAATTTATGCGACAACCAGTAAGTAAAAGCTAAAGCGACTGGCTACCAAAGGAGTGTCAAGGACACAACAGAAATGCAACCCATCAGGCAACTTTACAAAGACTGAAATACGAAAAAATATGACACTGCTGAATTTACTAGAATAAGCAAAATCCGCTCGGTCAGTTTTGCGCGAAGCAGAAACAGATGTGGGCTTAGTCTCCGCCGGTTTATTTCGATCTTTCGATAGGAAACTAAAATCTCCATCCTGTTTCTGGTGAACGCATGAACTTCATCTATGGCTCAAGGAACATGATGAGCAATTCTCATACGTTTTTCGTAAAGGCTGTTCAGTTTCACTGTTTTTGCTCAGAGTGCACACCTAAGCAGCTTGGCTTAGTCTGTCGTGGAATTCTACGTACACTCACGAGCTGCTTGTTGAGCATTCCCATGAGCATGTTAAACGCGATCCCAATCCATATCACACTTTCTTCATAATTACTTTGTTACCTTCGTGCCTGCAGAACAAAATCAGTACGCTGGGAAACAGAAAGGAAGTAGGGCTAATCCACTAAATCCAGTTACTTCTCAGCAAAGCTGCATGGTTGCTCTAAGTCGAAGTTTAAGCTGCTATCCACCTTTCGGTGGACGTAGAACGCAAACTTACGACTAACCTGTTTTTGTGTTACATATCATAAGAGAAAAATCAGAGGAGACCTGAAATGTCACTAACTTGGGACAACTCTTTCGCGCAGAGTGAGCGATGGAAAACATAAGTCGACCATTTAAAAGCAATTTTTGCAGATAAGGAGAGGACATCCTCATCGCAATATTAGGTATAACTTCGTTAGGCTTCTACTTCTCAAAGCAAAACTCCACATACACCTTGCGTATTGAGAAACTTAGAACAATGGCTTATAATAACCCTTAAAAGACGTATTCGTAGTAAGATAGGAACCTTCCAAGACAATTTAGTGGAATGGTTCGTTGTCGAAACGAATTATATCGATTTAAGGTTTCACTAATTTCCACACAAAGGAAGGATACGAAGTCTGCTGGATTACCTACTCGTTAATAACACGAAATACATACAGTATATACGCAATATGTGCGAAAATAGAGCTCTGTCACTATATTCTACTTCTAGGGTATGTTTGGCAGTGAGTAGTCAGTACGGTTTTCACCGTCCATTTCACCCCACTAGTTTAAATTTTCAAAGAACCAACTGCTTTAGACACGATATCTGTAAACCGTAAGTGAGATAAACCAGGACTCCATACAACCAGTAAAAATATTGCATTGGTATATTATTAAGCAAAATCACAGACATTGGAACTAACAAAGTGTTTCTAATGGCCAGCCAATCTCACACGAACAGAATATGAAGTAAATGACAGCGAATGCTGACGAAAAACATTATTACTACAAGGCATGTAGCAAAAATAACTCTATGAATCTCAACAAACAAACAAAAAAAAAGAGAAGTGGGCATTATGGGGGTAAAAACGCCCACATTACAACTGATTTTACTTGTGTGAAATGGAACCTTGCAGACCTGAACATGCCACCGTATGATGGTAGATCACATCGATTAGTTGAAAAAAAGAATACCGACAAAAGAAAGTGGTATACACCGACAAAATAGAAAGTGTAATAATATACAATGCACCATTCATGGAAACAGATACCGCTGACGATTGTACAAAGCGCAATATGGATCGTCCGAAATACTTGAAATCGATGAAGTTACAAGCACACATAGGTAGTATGAATGAAATATTGCCGATGTAAAACTAGGAGTGCGTTCTGAAAGCGAAATAGAAACAGCACACTACAAAGAACTATAGAATGTGGACTAGCGAGGATACCCTAAAGAAGTGTGGGAAAATCTCGTCGTGGTGCATGACGCTACCCGACTTGGCCGCATTAGTGTCTATCGGTGACATTGCTGTTAGTGCAAAGAACAAATAACATCTAATCGGTTACTTGTGGTCATTAACATGCTCAAAAAGCTGACTTAATGCTTAGTTAAACGTTGCAGAAATAAAGCAAAGTGGAGGACGAAATTCAACGCGTATGAGACATGTCGACCACAATGTACCCGCATAAGCGCATGCAATGCACCATGACAGCGATGACAGACAGAATCGTCTTTGACGATAACTTCAAACAATATAACACAATGAGAACCGTTAAAAATCACTACCGCTTCAAAGACGCTACACTCACACCACAAAAAGCGCGAGAAAGCACGCTTTGCGTGGTCACCAGTAGAAAAAGTACCGTAAACATAAAATTCTGCCTTAATAAGCATATTATGAGGCGCCTAAATACTACTTGAGGCTATGTCAATAATCGAATCGAAAGGGCTCGAAAATAAATCTAGACAGAAAAGAAAAACCGAACGTGAACCGGTGAATGATGCCACAGCAACGTGACATCACAGCATGCATAACGAAGGCGCTGCAACACTCTGACACGCATTGAACCTTGCATAGAGAAACAGTGATAAAAAATGATTGAACGTGAGTAAGGATTAAAAGCTAGTGAAATGTGAATATATGTGTTAAAGTTCTAGACGTTGGAAAATAAACGACACAGCTAGCGGTAGTATAATCAAAAGAAGAGACGTGGGATTATAGATGGCATAAAAATTATTCCAGAAGCCAGGGCCGAATAAAAACGGTGTCACACCGAAAACCACATATAGTGCGCATCTAGGAAATGCACAAAATACAATGCAGATAGAAATAAGCGATAAAAATAAGGAGATGATATCACACGATTACGGCTTGCTCACATTACACATTTGACCGAACGCGTTGATCGAGCTACGCTGGCAATCATCCTTGATCGGTTGTTCTATAATGATGTAAATCCCTCTGCAGAATAACGGAGATAGAAAAAGTACTGAAAAGAAAGGACCACTTTTTTGGGCTCCAGAGTAACAATAAAGGAACGAGGATAATGCTCTCCGCGTTGATCAATCCCCGAGAAATGCGCCACGCATTCGACTTCATTAGAGATCGTTAGAGGTGATTGAATGCATATCTGGGTTATTCAATAACCAGCGATGGCCTGCCGTTGTATCAAGCCAACGTTATTATCCTCTAAACAGGTCTGGTACCAATTTACCGATGCCGGAGGGATGGAAGACTTGGTGAGCTTGAAGCGCGGAATGGAAGCGCTGTGTATTGGAGGGTGCCTGTAACTACTGCACAACATACGCCCCGTGCTAGGATATTGTGTGAAATACAGCGACGGAGATGCCTAGACACAGATAGAACTCTGCACGAGAGCTGGGCTTTGAACCCACGATTACACTTTAAAGGAAGTTAGAAAAATCCACTTAGAAAAAGGCAATACAAAATGGACGAATACTGTTGGCACTGATCGATAGAACAAGCTGAGACAGAGACAGGCGGAACGAAGATTCGCATAGTGTGATGGTGAACACGGTAACCCCCGCAAAGTGTAGCGCGTTCGTTCGCCGCCGCAGACACCTGCGGTCTGGAGCTTTGCAAATATCTCAAGATCATTGGAGTTGTACTAATAAATAATCAAAGAATTTTTTATTGAACGATCAGAAAGCGCTCCTGTGCAGAATTCTTCTTCACGACCAGTTGCACCATTTGTCGTAGTAATAAGCACTTTGTGCTTAAAATTTAGGCATAGCTGCATCAGCGTTCGGATTTCGACAATGCCCGACCGATTGTTATCCCACTCCAATTATGAAAAAGTTTTTTATATAGTAGTCACTTTTCTGTTCAGTTATAAATAGCGCAATATTCTAAAAAGTTCACTGTATCTTGGTGAATATCTATAAGCAAATTACCCAATTCACCTGTTGGATCAACGCTTTTCACCGCGTTCATGATCTTCTGACGCACTTCACGAATTTTTAGAACCAAACTTTGCTTATTCGGAAACACTTTGCTGTGAAGCAGTTGAAAAGCGGACGTTTCTTGTGCTAAAATGTATTTTTTGTCCTTATAAGAATGAAAAGACGAACTTGAACCATTCGTGTGTACTCTGGGTTGAAACTTATCTTAAACGGCTGAATGGTTTCGAAACCACATTGAAGCCATGTTTACAGAGGGAAAGTCACAAACGATATTTGTTACGAAACGATATACGGCTTACATGAACGTTATCATAAAAGAGTTTGGAACCAACATGATGGAAACAGTCCTGCCGTTTCCAATAACTGGCACACAAGAAACCGTCGCTGCTCCAAAAGTCTCTTGCTAGCGCTTTTCTCATCTATTGGAGTGCACGGTATCACATCGTCGTTGGAAATCTGTATAAACTTCCTTCTTTTTTTAAAAACCAACCATAAAATAGTGCAAATGCGAATCACCAGTTCCGGAGAGCAGTTGTTGAATGTTGGACCGAAAAAGACACCCGAACTGGCCGTTGAGACTAGTGGAGTATTGCGTGGTGAGTCACGGACCTTGTCTCTCAGGTTCCGTATAAGCCTTGATGGTGTTGAAGGCAAACTTCCTACACATCCGTTCTGCAACCTCGGACTATCGTAAAAAGATTGATTTCACAAAAAAAGAAGGATACCTTCAACTGATCAACGGTAAACTCAGGAAGTTTAGCAAACTTGTTTTGGAAATCCACTTGATCCAACACACTAAAATATGAGAAACTAAATTGTGTAAAATGAATAAAACCTTAAGAAAACTATACCGATCCATTGTTTCATCGGATCGTTTGAAAAATTTCTTCATTACGCTGTTTCCATTCTCACCGCAGTTCGTTATTGACTCTGATTCCATTTCCTCGGAAGTGGTTGTTCCTAAGCTTCTTTTTTGTCCTAAACTTTCCCAGGTTTATTTTGAGGTGATTTTGAACAATATTTACCACATTTTCAACAATTTCTTTTACCTTTGGCCACGCCACGTTGTGCAGGAGTTGGCATAAGCACAAAAGGTTCTTGGACAGCACTGCATGCACTTATTGTTGTTGAGGGTCTAAAATTTTTGATTAGAAGGGGGTATTTGACGTAAAATTGATAAAGTGAGATTAAACGAACATAGTAGAGGCAGTTTCGGTTTTTTCCTGGATATTTGGAAGAGATTGTTCGGAAACACTAGTAGATTTTGGCTGTGAAAAAACAAATGTTGAATCTGTCGATCGCGGACTTACAAGCGCTGGAGCACTCTAAATTACTAGTTCAATTATTATGTCTCCACAACATTGCCTATATAAAAAGTTGGTGCAGAATGGATTGTATTAGCCGCCTTGAAAATATTTCAGTTTGCTAAAGAGTTGAATATGTAAACGGCATCTATCAAAGGAGAAGTGCCAAATTAATCTCAAATTGGGGCAGAGATCACAGCGGATGGAGATGCCCTACAACACACGCATGTTCGCCTGTTTGACCACAAACCCAGCCAAGTAAGCACCCCATTTTTCCTGGTCGTCAAATTAGTGCTATGCTTGTTCGCGAAAACCTTCCTTTGATATGCAAAATCCGGAGACTGCTCTAGCAGAAGTATTCCAGGATTGCAAGGAAAAGCAATCTGACCACGATACAATAACATTCACGAAAAAATCTTCAAACAACAACCAAATATGTAAGCAAATATGAGAACCTTCGTGCATGGTGGATGCCAGAGAACGAAATGGACGGGGAAGTATTGGGACACACAGCGTGTAAAGGCGGATTGTGTAAATGCAAACAAAAGTGAAAAATCTCCAACAAGCAATACAGAATATTGATATTATATATATTATTATTATTATCTGTATTACTATTATCTGATTTCTCGAAAAGCGTGCGGAGAGGACAATGACGAAACAGCATGCGTCCGCATAAAAGGACACCTATTCGATAAACTTAAAATTAAACCCAATACTTCATTAATCCCAGAGCACAGAGGCAAAACGGAGAATGTTTTGAAGTGGAAATGAACACCTCGCATGGGAATCGAAAACTTTAGCGCACGAAACACTCGAAGCATTCTGTATAAAATGGAAAAATTCAGAAATGAAATGCTGCGAAATGCCTCGTCATCACAAGTGATTTTATACAATATTTGAGATTGATATTTTAATATGATATAATATTTTAATATGGAAAAGGTCCAAAAAGGAAAGTGAAAGGTCCTTCCATGAAAACTCTGTCTACACGTGACATACTCAGTGGGAGACATAGAAAGCGCTGTGTGTGAGAAGAAACTATTCTGTTTTCAATGCCATTGAAATCTAGGTTTCGTGATTTTTCTGCAGCGATAATGGTGTTTGGCTGACTAGACTGTAGTCAACGTCACCTCTCCAGGCTCTAAAAAAGTTTAGATCTGCCTGGTCGCTAGTTTTTTGTGAATAAAGGGTGAAATAATAACCTTATGTTTGCTCATAAAGGAAAAAAGAGCATTGACTGCGCCATATTTTGTATCCTATGAATTTTACAGTGGTTTTGTTACATTTACAAATATTGTTATCCGCCCACAAATTTCCAGAGAGAACTTGCTGCTTCTACGCACATGACCGGCCATGTGTTTTTCTTCAGATGCTCGTTGATCATCCGGATATGATGTGTTTGCTATATGATGGTTAGTTGGTACAAGCACGGAATAGGAGCTGTCTTGTATAGTAACTGTATAAATATACATTAACTTCAGACGCTGGATTAGCTATCATTATTGCAGCTGATAGATCTATAACTACGTACGTGAGCAAACAACATATCCATAACGCTTATCTGATTGCCTTCACGCGAATTATTAACCGCACGTCGACTTAGCTGAGATGCTGCGAAGAAGTGAGGGGTAAGTACATAGGAAGCGGTTTAGGTTCGTCTGCAACAAATACGGATCCGAACTACTCCGAAAGAGCTCACTTTAAACACTACTGTGGAAAACCTGATGAGCTGTTACTTGTGGATAACTTTTGATCTAAGGAAGTAATAATACAGAGCTTGTTTCTCCTAGACGACAACAGCACTAGATGCTATAGCGTGGTCACTTGAGTAACTCTATGGCTAAAAGAATTGTAATTCATTCATTGAAGTGGATTAATATAAATATGAATTGCTAAAAGCATATTAAATTAAGACGACATCATTTTAAATAAACTAGTTAAGCTACCCAGTAATGAAGGATCACCTTTATCCACATGGGACTTTTTGGTGACATTCTTTGTGGAATCGCCATTGGTGATGAGAATTCGTTCAGAACGGGTGAGCAAATGCCTTGAAGGAAGCCAGCACTTGGAGATGGCTGTAATATGCGAAAAAGTGGAATTACTTGAGTTCAGATCAAAATGTAAGGTAGTTTAGTGTTCTTTTTGTCCGATTCCGGTCCAGAAAAACTCTATCATATGCTGCTTATTATTCTCTAAACGGTGGTTTGCAAAAATTATAATAGGATCACATTGCTAACCACACAAATATTGTATAAATTGGGCGACACGGCAGCAGATGGTATCGGAGACATGGCTCCTATCGTAGGTGGAGTGAAGAAACGCGATGGAGGACGTATTGCGGCAACCTATAACGGCATCTTCACAAGGTATGATGTTTGGCACGTTTTTCATACCCATCTATAGCAAAAAAACATACTTTATAACAACTAATAATATTTGCATACCAAAGCGCCGTTCGTTTTCTTAAAAATAGTATATAAAGAAAACCTCTACCTGACCACTAACTCTTCGTTGTATAACAGTCGGATCGAACGATGATCCAACGAGCGGTGATGCCGGAAAGCTGATGCTAGAAGCGGATTTCATAACAGAAAATGACGTATACCTGACACCAGAGCTCAAACTACCTACTTCGGAGATAAAAACGATGGTAGGGCGACAAGGCCAGGACTCATGAGAGGAGATTCAAAGCCAATATCTGTACCGTCACCCCGCAGTGGTGTTGGTCGAGGAAGGGCCTGAGTTTTATCTACTTCTGCTGCAAGTTATACAAAATTAGTTATAAATTTCAAACCGGTGTGATATGAGTAATGGCGTCGTTGTCCACGTCTCCTGTTGGAGTCCTTCCCATTTCGTCTGACGTTTTGAAGTCGAAATTGAATGTCTGCAGTGCAATCGAGTCCTTCACATTTTCCTCCATTATTTAAAAGAGAAAAACACTATAGAATTATTAAGTTATGGTTTTGGAATCTATGTACGTATAGCAAAAAATTTTAGCTAAGCCGAAAAATTTGAAAATATTGAGCAAATTTGCACAAGGTATAACCTTTAGCTGATTCAAAAAAAGCGCTTACGACTGCATCACTTATTAAAATAGATGACATTCCTAACGGGATAAACTCAGACCTTTCCAGGTCTTTGCGTATTGTTTTGTGTTAATTCGGAACGAGATTTCTTATCCTTGGCACACCATTTCCAATCCGGATGTGCCTTGAAATGAGCTTCTTTCACCTGAATGAAAAGTTAAGTTATTACAATCACAGCTTTGACTGTGAATGACAAATAAGTAATGACCAAGACCTGTGTGGCAAGTTTATGATACTGTTGCTTCTCATCAGTTCCTAAAGCATACCACCATTCTCCGAGTATTTTTGACACCGTGCGGTTATCACGATTTGGATACTTATTGTGAACCATTGGACGATGTCGTTTTGAGAAAATCATGAATGCATTCATCGGACGCCGAATATGTTCTCTTTTCTAAAAGTTTTCGGAATTCTTTGCAAGTCTGGAAACCAGTACGCCAGCCAATCACCATGTGTCCAGTTGACTCGAGGAAGACATGAACAATGGCGGATAGTAAAACGAATGCGTACCCTTTCCAACTTTGGTTTTTCGTTGTTCTTCTCCTTCGTGAACTCGATCGACGGCGGTTGTTCGTTTTGCTGGTCATATTGGTCCTCAACTTCTGAAAAATCATCACTTAACATCTTTAGCGTTTGATTGTTCGCTCTGAATGCTAATCGAAAACTGAAAAATCTCCATTTCTATGAAACTGTCACAGTTGTTTTTGAGCATTTCATTAAACCGCCTTTCAAAACAAATGCTACACGTGTTAAAAAAAACAAGAGTCACATCGCTAAGAATATCAGCAGCACTTAACCTGATGAGAGCTCGATAAGTGGCCACTAGATCAGTGAATATACTGATTATCATCAGTTTTTCTTTGTTAGGATTTTAAATTTGGCTTAGAAAACACCGTTGTGTTGGGTGTCAATGCTTAGAAACCTCAACCACCCTCATCGGTTAAAGCACGACTGGATATATTAGGTGAACCTCCACACTCAATGGTTTATCACCTCACCGTGACTGAGAGATGTTGCAAATTGCCGAAATAGGATGAATTGAACTTATGGGCTTATCCATCTAATGGAGTATAAAATGCTGAGCAAAAGCCCGACGTTTACATCTTGAAGTGTGGCCAAAAGTTAACTAATGTCTGCAATCACTGCGCCTTGGCAGTAACATAGCTATGAGCTGAGAAACGCGAAGGATTAGGAAGGTACTTGCACGGTTTTCAACACTGCAGGGACGAAAAATCTTATTCGACCAGTAATTTACCAGTGAAACGCTAACTATTCTGGGACCCGCCCAACTCCTCGCTACTCTTGAAAATGAGGCATCCAGGTATTAAAACAATTCAGCGAACTATTCGTGATAGGATTATGAAAGAAGGGTGACAGCATGTATATTTCATATTTTAACCTGTAACATTTCATGCTCTTGTTTGATTACTGGCGTTAGTTCTCTAATAACAAGAGTAACTGAGGAGTTGAAAACTTTATAGTTCTTATAAAAGAAGCAGACAGGCATCCGTAAATTTCCATGATTTTTGTTTAAGCTAAGGAAGTTTGAAATGATTTGAGAGATGTTGGTTGAAATTTTAAGAGCGCGTTTAATTTTGGCCATGTACGTTTATATTCAATGTACACTGTCACTGTATTAAGGAAAGTTTATGCTTTTGATCAACGTTTATACGATAGTAAAGCATACTCTTTTGACATAGTACCTCTTGTGAAAACTGTAGCTTTTCGCTGAACAACAAGTTCCAGTTAAACTATTCAAACTGACTACAATTTACCGCACCACTCTTGGGGTAGCCACCAAGCAGATCTTCGGTGCTGCCGATTTGAAGCGGAGGAGTTAATGAACCGTCCATCGCTTTTGATGCTATCCACTGAAAATAACTAGTAGAAAGGATGGACACTTTTAATTAAAAATACTTTCTGGTGTGACGCCATTAAAGTAGGTCACTGACACTTCCTATTCTCAAAAGAAAAGCAGAAACACACTAAAGTAATGGGCAAGAGTCGGATATATCTGAAAACTATAATGATTTCTGTAGAAGAAAATTCAGTAGTGAACGAGAACTGAAACGAAGGTGAAACAAAATCAAGATGTTGGGGAAAAAAGCATGTGGAGAAAATGCAGTTCGCTGAAATACACCCATTATGCCGATGGCTATCAAAATAAATATCGGTTTTTATTTATAACTTTATCGTAGATTGGCCTAAGAAGTAGAACTGTACGTGGGAGCTTACATTTTGCTCGATTTTTCTTGAACGCAAAGAATTTCCCGGCGATTGTTCGCGTGCATCTGCAAAAAGAACTTAAAAATGTCAATCTTTTACATTTCGTTTTATTACTTTTTTTTCATTTTCATTCGGCCATAGTGTTGCCTTGTTTTTGCTCTTTTTATTGCTAACAGATTTCGTTGTGCTCACTTAATACCACGAGATGTTCATAAATGCAAAGACAGGAGACAAATAGACACACTTGAACACTTAGACACTTAGACACTTGGACGGCCCGTCTTCACGAGTTATGCGAACCCCAAAACATTTTCTTCTCGTTTCTCTTTCTCGCAGTTGTGGTCTATGGTAGTGGTTTGATTCGAGAATGGTGTAAGGATTGAGTCGCCGTTGGTGTGAGTACAGCTGATTTAGTTTAGTTACGCACCTGTACGCCCAACGTGTTGATTACCTTTTTGGGGACGCGTGCAAACTCGTGCGGCCCACTCCACAGTTCTTTTCGTCAGTCTATCGTCAGCTTTCCTCATTACGGCCCACCCATCTTTCGCTATCGATATGTATCCTCTTTTTTCTTGATCCTGAAGATTAAATAGACTTCGAATATCAGAGCTTTGCATTCCAGTTAGATGTTGTCTATGCCGGTTGTATTTAATAAGACCTCATTCACGCCCTCTGTGCTGCGCAGAGTTCTGGACGTGGTCGAAGTCTCAGCCCAGGTCTCTAGTGTATAGAAGACCGCTGGGAGGGTTGTTGAAAAGAAAAGGTGAGCCGGATCTTTAAATCGGTTCACTGCTCGGCGGCTTTTTTGAGAGGCTTGAATGCGGTCCATGGTGCTCTCCTTCTTCCGTCTAATACGTCCTTTATGTTGTTCTAAATGTTCGTTGAACGTCAAGGTATATGTTCGAGGTGACCTTTGTAATAAGAGAACCATCCACTTCGAATCGTTCTCATTCGCATAGTCTGTTCTTCGTGAACTGGGAGTTAGTTCTATTTAGGGGCAGTTCAATATTTTTCTCCGTTCGCTTACTTCATTGAGCATCGTTGAGCTTCGCTAATACATTTGGAAAAGGTTATGATGTCATCCGCAAAACGAATATTTTATTGAAATTCTCTATCAATAAGTATTTCTCTTATCCAAATCGAGTAACCTCATTATCCAATGTAGCGCTGTAGTAGACAGCTTTGACAACATGGCGTCGTCTTTTCGAACTCCTTTTCGCATCTGCGTGGTAGGAGTTCGACGGAAAAGCTGCGTTTTCGTGTGGCAGCTTCGATAAGGATCAGATGGAGTTCTTATTTAAGAGGGATCCACACTTTCGTCGACGAGCGCTGATAGGATTGCATTTGCTTCAATAGAGTCAAACGCTTTTTCAAAGTCGATAAAAGTTAGGATTAGGTTATGTGGTATTCTCAACGAACTTCTGCAACATTGAACACGGTTTGGAAGTATTATTTTGCTGCATGCCGAAAAACGAACTGGAAGCACTAATTCATAACTGCTTTCTCAATTTACTTAAGCTAATCACTTTTGCGAATTGCATTAGAGTGCACTATTTTCAAGGAAGCGTGAAGCGCAATGGTGGCGATTCGGATCATTGCACGGAAGGCCCGCCCTAACCAGACGCTGATTCGACGTCGTTCCGGTCCCACCAAGCCCCTCCTCCTTCCAAAATCCAGAAATTGGTACGAAGCTAGTCTGCAGCAAGCTTCCTATATCTAATCCACTCGTGAATGCCATGGACGGCCATCTCGGATGCAAAGAAGGATTCACTCGATCATGATTCAACGACATTCGTAGTCAAGTAGCAGCCGAAGCCCTACGCAAAAAAGTTTTGAGAACTTCGTGAATGGTTGATCCGAAAAAACTGAATGAATCCAAGAAATGCTGGAATCCGCACAGTTTGTGGTACATGTGGTGTTGGTTCACCTAATGAATAAATAGTAGATGAAACCCTATCTACAAATATTACATTGTGAGTTGAGTTCCAAAAAGGTGATCAGAAATAGAGTAGATAGACATAAGCGTCACAAATTACCGTCTCAGTTAATTACTATTTGTTCCGGAATCAGCAATAATAATGAAGATGACAAATTATGACGATTATAATGACAACAGAAACACGGTAAAACGTTATGATTACGGGCTATGATATCATGCCAGAAAAGCGACTATTGTACCCGTTGTTTGTTTTGAAGAGTGTTTCACAGGTTGGCGCAGAAATAATGGCCGATTTCGTCATTGTGAAGCTTAAACTCAAAATTTGGCCAGCAATTTACCATAGTTTTACCCTCGGATCATCAGCAATTTACACTCGGATCATCGGCTCTGAGGAAGACGAAGACGTCGAAACGTTAGCCGAAAATAAATATATTTATCAACCTCGTGCAAGTTTATCAAGAAAGAATGCATATTGATTAGTCACACCGAGGTTCAGGGAAAGTCGGTTTCGAAATATTACTACGCTTTGTGCTAGCTGATAAAACACCGACTTCTGCACGATGTCCGCAATGATGTATGACCGGAAGAAATACAGGTTGTTACCACCGGACATTATCATTATATATCCACCGTCAGCATCGTGTATAAAAGGGCATCACTGAGTGAGGATGCCTCATTCGAGAACATGGATCGTTGAGGAAGACCTGGCTCGACACGAAGGCGAAGCTGTAACGTCGAGACGAATAACAAGCGAGGACCATCGACTCGGATCATCGGCTCTGAGGAAGACGAAGACGTCGAAACGTTAGCCGAAAATAAATATATTTATCAACCTCGTGCAAGCTTATCAAGAAAGAATGCATATTGGACTCTTAGTTTATTTTCTGATTTCCAATTGGCATAAAAAAGTAGTTGGTTTATAATGGTAACAGCTACTTAGTTTTCAGTAAGGAGAAAATCATGTGATACAAGATTCTCAATCTCGGTGAAACGGCTACAACGGAGAAGACAAATCTCCCGCGCCCGTTGATTTTCTAAATAAATTCTACTGAAGCGTAAGCGTCCAGACATAGCCAACAGAAAAGGTCTAATCTTCTTAAACGATCGCACTTGATCACATAACTGCACAACTCATGCTGCATGTTGCATGCGCTTTGCAAATAAAAGCTAGTTTGTGTAGCGTACTATATGTCCTCACGTTAAGTGGCAGACACTTTCTTCGGACATTGTGACAGCTAGTACCTGACATAATCTTCGACAACTTAACCACTGCAAAAATTACCCTCGGAGAATTGAACTGTTCCATAAAGTTGGAATTTTATGGTAACACAACAAATCAGTTTCATGTCGGAAAAATGTGTAAATTTTAATGATTTCTCTAGCCTTGTTTTTATTTCTGGCTTGAAATTGACGAAATTGGTCTTTAATTTCCGATGAATACTTTGGATACGTAGAGATTTTATAGCCGAATTCGTTCGACTGTTTCAGTTTTAGAACTCGCGGGCCAATCTTGAGATGAGACATGAATGATCTTTTCCAGTTAATTAACATTTCAAATGTGTTATGCAATTTTTGATGCTCTTCATCGATTTCAGGACAGTTTTTCTAATACCGTTATCGATGTACCCCAATTGAGAAACTTTTGGTGAATAAGACATCCGGCACACTTTTAGAGCTCCACAACAGCCTCCTATCGGTGCAAAACCGGCCTAGGAAAGTGTTCTTGAGCTACACCCCGGTCTAGCTGATATGATCGATAAATAAAGGAAAAGCATCATAGCATCATAGCATCATCATCTATTCATAACGATAATTTCTTTCCTCTTTGGAAAAAATATGTGGAGCCCCTTTGCTCGACATTTTTCATCCTTTTCATATCTTCCAAATGACAAATGATTCACTGTATTCATGACAAGTAAATGCCAGTTAGTTCTGACAGGATTTATTTATTAAAAGTAGCTGACGTTATAGCCGTTTTGCATACTTCGGAGCCTGGGAGGCTCAAATTCGCACGCAGTCTACTCATCCAAACACTTTCAAAATATTGTTTACTGATTAATGCAAAGTTGTTCTGCAACTTCTTGAATGGTTTTTAGAAATTCAACATCGACTAACGCCTATATTTCCACTGTTAACCGCTGATGAAGGCTTAAAACCTTCTTCGTCATGAAAAGTCGTAAATGCAATATGGAACTTCTTGAAACAACTGCGCAGGGTGCATTTAGAAGAGCTACCGTAGCTCCATGGTTTAGTGAAAGTAGAAGGAGACGATATTCTTTGCTTGAGAACATTATATAAAGAACAAGGATTGAAGTGGTATGCAACAGAGTAATTTTAACTAATACTTGTTGCAAAGTGTAACTGCAAAATTTATTGAAGATAACAACATCCTCCTGGATTTTTGCACTAACATCCTCAGAAGGGTGCGTGTGGTGCTGTGGTCGGAGGCACCCTGCAACACAGGTGGAGCCGCTCGCCCGCGGCTCACCAAGCCGTCCATCTTTCCGGGGTCGGCAAATTAGTATCACAATTGTCTGGGAGGATAGCAGCACTGGCTCGATACATTGGCAGGCTACCGCGATTCATTATAAAGGCCAGATATAAATTCAGTCACCTCCAAACGATGCTTAATGAAGTCGAATGCATGGCGCATCACTCAGGGATTGATTAACGCCGACAGCTCTATCCTTTATCCCTTTTAACACCCTCGTGTAACTGACAATTTGCGTGAAAGCAGGAACATTTCTCAAAGTAGAATTTGTAAAGAAAAATTGTGATAATTTTTTCGAACTCGAAAGGCAGATTGGTACTCTATAGTACCCTAAACATTAGAAAACCAAAACACCAGAAAGTATTGTCAAAAAAATCAGTTGTTTTCCAACATTTTCAGTGGTGTAACTAGTGTTCGTCAGCTGAAGTGGTCGCTTGTACTACACGACAGAGCGCATCTTCATGTACCACACGTGAATCCTCAAAAATTGAACGGTTGCTAGATTATGCTCAATTTCTTCTTAACTGGTTTGTAATTTCTTAAAATATACGGATAACCTTCTTCGCGAAAAAATTCTTGCCAATCGCATAACGGCAGTAGACACTTTCGACGATGCTGTCGATTCCTGAGGTTCGAACTTTATTCATATAAATGCGTCGTTTTTTTTCAGCAATCTCGAGCTTGTTTTACGGCATACGTTTTACTTCTGTACAAAAAGAGGCATACAACACAACAGTTGCTGAGGTTTCGGCAGTATCTCCTTTTTCAGAGTCTGGAAGGGTATGTTGATTTGCAATTTTTTACACCACACACTTGAAAAAAAAACGACGCATTTATAACTCAGTTCCAAGGTTAATAGAAAGTCGATCCTGGAATCTATGCAAAATTTCCGTGACCGTAACATTTTTAAAGGGTATGCCGAATGCAAAAAATTCTATCTTGCCTGATGAAAGTTGAATAAAAAACAACTGCTGCATAATGAAATTTCGGTCTAAAATCGTATACTACACACTTTAGCAATAGCCTTACTCATACGTTGGTCAGTGTTCGTGGTATATTCTTGGCGTTGTTGTTGATGCTGTCGCCGTTGTTGATGTTGCTGTTGTTGTTCCTGCTGTTGCGAGGTGGTCTCGTTAGTACCGCATTCGTCACCATCTCCGTTAATTTGATAAGCTACAAAACGGGGAAAATAACAGAATTGAAGAGTCAATGAGCCTGCGACTTTTCTATTCATGATGGATAAGTTCTCTGGCTGCAAGAACTCAATGCGCCGTAATAAAACTTTTTGTTGAGAATGGATCCAATAATATGATTCCCTTATGTAGTTCGATCAACCCAGAAAGGAAAATCTGATAAGACGGAAAAGGTCGATTAAAATTAATGAAACAATCTAATGATGTGACGTTTCATTTGGAAGCGGAAAAGTGAGAAGTGGTAAATGAAAAGAGCTTTTTTTGCTACGTTGGTTAAGTTGATCTCTATGCAGCTTTAGGTCGTAAACGGAATTCAAGATATAGATTTCGGCAGCGAACATGTAGAAGTGAACTAAGTGACTCGTCGTTGTTGTAAGCGCTTCTTCGCCTTTGGAATTATTTATAGTAGAACCAGGAAAGCATATAGGAAGCAGAAGATCCCACAAAACTATTTCCAGGCTAAGCAAGCTTTTGAGGTAATAAATTTATGAGGGGTAAATTTAAATATAAAGAAAAAGTATGAAAATGATGGCATATAGTTTGATGCACCTCACTACTATGCACTGCAAGCAATGCATGTAAACCGGAATCTGATAAACAGATGCACTCAAATTTTATGTACAAATAACAGCGTTAATGGTGATCAGATGTTTAATGCAATTAATAGAACGCACTTGTACCTGACCCGTTGTATGACCTTCCAGCAGCCGTCGAGCCACCATTTCCATGTGAATCGTCGTCTCGATCAGCGCCGTCTTCCGAACCATCACTCTTTCGGCAAACGCTCACATCTGAATGTTACTATTCAGTAACAAAAACCTATTACAGAAACTCATCTCTGATATGTGAAGGATGCATCAACGTTGCAGACAAACTTGAACGAACTGTCATCTTCATCGCCTTCTTCTTCCTCCTCCTCCTCCTGTTTGACGCTGTTGTTGGTAAGGCTCGTTTGTTGTGCACTAATTTGTTGCTGAAGGAGCTAAAACTCAAAAAGCAACTGGTGTAGGCAGTCAGACTCAGTAAAATGCCCGACTGCCATATAATCAAGTCACTAGACGTTTTCACTAGTCACTGAGAACTAGTACCTGTTGTTGAAGTAATGGAGCAGCGAAATTTTGCTGAAGAGCTGTGCTGAACTGAAATGCTCCGGTCAACATAGTGAAATCACTGCGGCAGCCAGCGGTTGGCATCAACGGCAGTAGTTGATGCACTTGAGGAAACGAGTCAAAACGCAGTTGACTGAGATTTAATAATGTCTGCGCTTGCGATGTTCGATCCATCTGTCAAACGGAAATTATCAACTGGAGATCATAAGATTTACAAGTAAAACAATTTGCAATAAAAAATGTTCCTTATACCTACAATCCTGCTTGAACCACAAGCAATGTCAGAACTAGAAATAACAGACTAAATTGGGATCAACCATGGATACTTTCTGAATCTGACTAAGAGAACTTAATAATCAGTTTAAAAAACAATTCTTTTCGACCATTAAATTAATTCATGAGTAGAATTAGACTCGTATTAAACGACAAAACACAAGAAAATTATTTTGAGTCACAAATTTTAGAATAGTACAAATTCTACGCAAAACATATCAGAAGCGAAAGTAATGTCGATTTGGTCTATCTGGTAAGAATTAAATGCTTTATTTTCAACGAAAGCACCCCTTTATCCTTGTTTTACATGCCATTCTACTTCGTTGACGTCCTACAAATTTGACCTTAATGCTTTCATTTGTTACTTTAACCTGTGTTTCGCTTAAGCGTTCGAATAGAAATGGAAAGCACTAGTGCGGCCTTTAAGAGGAAGTTAGACCATAACTTAAGGCGACAGGAAATGCTCAGGATTTCAAACAACACCCAGCGCTCAAATTTGCACGGTCGCCACTTGGAAAACGCATAGTCAAATGCAGCTTACGGAACGATGTTGGTTTTTAGAAAACATGCGGTAATTTTTCGATAACTAGAGCAATTGAGGGATTATTATCGAAACAATGTTACTGAGGTCACCATGTTTCATTGTGACGGTTAGAAATCAAGTAATACTGTACTGGCAGTCGAAGAACTGTCAATAAATTCGTTCGAAAAAAGATTACAAATCAATAAATGTAGAGAACACATTCTCGTGTTCCATCGCTGACACTATATCTGTGTTAGAAGAGCTATTGAATGGCTAGAAATAGACAGCAAAAAAGTGCTGTGTAACAAAATAAAGCAGTGAGAAAAATTCATTGAATTCAAAACAATTCGTTCATTTTACCACCACCACTGCGTGCAAAGTACACAATGCATTTCAGGAGTTGTATTTTGACGTGACATTTACTCTGGGAACCCTTAGCGATCATGTATTCTAACGATTGTTTCGAGACCTTTAGTGGTGGAGATTTACAGCTTTGAAGAATACTAAGTTCAAATAAACTAAGTCAAACGGTTTCGGATATTCAAATCGGGAGTTAAGGAAACTTTTCAAGTTAGTACAAGCAGATTCAAGTCGATATTCAACAGCTCGGATCATGAAAGTCGTTTTAGGCGGCATTATAAACGATGCTTGTTGATCACATTGCTATTATTTAAAATCTAGTTAACAAGGATACAGCGCCAAAACACTTCATGTGGTCAACCTCGCAACATCGGAAAGTTACGATGACCGTTTTAGGATCGATGGATAGAATTAACATTAACTAGCACAAATTAAATTTAATTAAAGAAGCCGATTTAGCTCTAGTATCACAAGTGGTGGTAAACAAGTTGAACAAGTTGACCATGAGATCCTGCTCATCCGTTCTTCTCAACAACCGCCAATCATAAAAAAGCAGGGGGAATTTCGACGACAGTATCGATCCAACCACAAGAAAATGTAAGCTAAAGAAAGGCTTCATAGTTTGTGAAAGCAGGTAAGCGGTTTAAGTACATCTCAATGTAATTAAAAGGTGTTAGAAAACAACCTCGAGATGGGTGGTTGGACCGAGATAAATGACATCAGGATGGATCGTACGTATTAATTCTTCCTTCTCATTTCTTGTACGAAAAGCAATGAAAAAAAAAAACGATTTTAGCATCGTTTGGAGATGACTAAATGCATATCTGGCCATTAGAATAACACGCGGTGGCCTACCGTTGTTTCCAGCAAGTGAAGCTATCCTTCCTTACTAGTCTGATGCTAATTTGGCGACCCTGGAGAGATGAAAGGCTTGGTGCGCCATAAGCGCAGGGACCGATCCCACGTATGTGTTGAAAGGCACCTGCGATCACTGCTCCGCAAGCGCCCTTGTTAGGAATGTTAGGCGTGCTACCACAAAATTGCATCAAAAAGACTGTGATGGCTTTGTCATGCGCGATAGACGGTATCCATACGTTATAATTTCTTAACTCTTGGCAAAATCACTGTGATAAAAAAAATATTGTTGAAAAGTAAATGAGATGCCTCAGAAAAAAGTGAAAGAAGACATTCTGCTTTTTAACGACACCCGACGAGGAATCGCATAACCACCACTTCAAAAGGTTAAAGAATTGCAACACGAAACTCTAGCAAACACATTCATCATATTTCTGGACAACCGATGCCACTCTTTGAAATATCTCGACTTTTCGAAGAATTCTTCGACAATCAAGCCGCTGTCTCATGTGTGGTATTTGTGTCATGATGACAAATGTGTAAAAATTCTAATGTATTTTAATCAGAATAACAAAGTCATTACAGCGATGGGCGCGTGTGGCGCAGTGGTCGGAGGCGCCCTGTAGCATACACGTGGAATCGGTTTCAACGCCCATGGCCCACCAGGCCTTCCATTTCTCTGGGGTAGGTAAATTGGTAGCAAGATTGCTTGGGAGGATAGCGGAACTGGCTCGCTACATCGATAGGCCACTGCGAGTCACTGTAGAGGCCAGATATGCATTTAATCACCTCCAACGATGCTTAGTGAAGTCGAGTGCGTGACGTATTTGTCATTGATTAAACACCGAGAGCTTTAACCTTTATAGCGAAACCGTCCTAATAATTTGCACTATGGTTGGAAAGTGCTCAAACATGTCGAGCTGGTTATATAGCAACGGATCCATCTACATAGTTGAAAGGCAGTTCAACATTTTCATTCAGCAATCCAGCTCAGCACTAATCAGTGGCAAAAATCTCCGCCATTTTGAAGAAAATTTAGTTCTATGGTTGTATACTTTACTCTTATATGGAAGTGTTGGCGAAAGGCTGTGGTAATGGCGCAGGAATGCAAGGAGTAGGTTTCTCGGGAGTGAAGAGAGGGTCTTGCTAAACTAGTAACCGCATGCCTCGTCGAATAGAACGATTAAATAAAAAAAGCGTTCAAGACAGTCAATTATCAGCAAAATCGTAAAGGATATATGTGAGTTTGTTGTAGAGCAAGAAAAAAACGAAAATATTAGATGGCATGTTTATTGACGTTAACGCGACAGTCAAGTGAACTCTTTCAATTCCCTTAACGAAAATCGAATCCGTGCATGCAGATGAAGGATACCTGTAGATCCGATTTCCATTGTCAAAGAGTAGCAGGTTTATACCCAGCAGTGTTTTTTTGCTCACAAAACTTTTTGCTTTCGATGAGTGGAGAGACAACGGTCTGTCGAAATGATTCCGCCATAATCTGCTGACATTATGAGTAACGAGTTGAGTTCTACCCTTTTTTCAAAAGCTCTATTCTTACTAGAAAAACCACACATTTAACATCGATTAATACTATTATGAACTTCTTCCTAGATTTAATTGGTCTAATGAATTTTAAAACTAGAATAGGATAGAGAAGGAAAAAGGATATATGAGGTGACCTGTTGTAAAATGACCTCGTAGTACGAGATTAATATTGAGGGCATTTCCACTGCAGAGTAAACTAACACGTTACTGCAGTAAATATTAAACAGTTAAACTTCGAAGCGACAACTTGAGATATTGGAAAATGACGAGTCACTTCAGAATTAGAAATAAGGGTTTCCATTATGGGAAAGACAAGTAAGTCACTGAGAAAGGACGGAATTTAATTCTACAAAACGAGAAAACAAGACCAGATTCAGAAATCTACTCGTTCTACAGCAGGAAAACAAGTCGGGAAACTTTCAGAAACAGAAATACATGGTATTTTCCTATTTCAGACGAAATCGTAGATAAAACACATAAGTTTGTAATGGTGAATGAAACCATTTGCTAAACCCCTCATCACATTCCATCACAAACGGGAAAAAATTAGAATGCTTTAACTCTCAATTTTATGGCTTCGGATATGCTAACCCTACATCGAATCTCTTCATAATAATTCACATTCATCCATAATGAAACTACATACGTTTGTAAGGTGACTTCCTGTGTTTGAATGTGAAATTTATCCCGACAGTATACTTTTCGTTGCTCTGCGTTTTATTTTATGGAATTGAAGAAATATTCTAGATTGATGGAGATTGGCAAAATACTTGGGTAGGACTTTTGCATTCATACAGTCATCATCTCGGAGATTTCGGTAGGATCTTCAAAAAAAACTTCTTCTATTTCTTCTATGGAGCGATTACAGTTGATCGTCATGGCGGATAATGCTCCTTATTCCGCAGATGGCAATCAAATAATATTATTTCTGCTAGCAATACCTTAATGTATACCGGCCATTTGTCAAGTCGTGTCTAAAGTGAAGCTGCATGGTTAATGAGAGATGAGCTTAGGCGCTGTGAAAGTTTTAGTGAATCACATTCACCTCAGCTACTTGATCAGCGATAGTGGCTGGTCGAGTAGTTGGAATGGTGGGTGCAGTTACCAACTTTGATCCAAATAGGGTTTGTGGTGTTTCCGTCGAATAGCGCGTCGAGCTAGAGCTCGGCATTGAGGTATCAGGAGGCAGCGAACCTTAATGTGAACAATCAAAAAGTCAGGTCGAATTGTTAACAACGAATAGTAAAGAAAATCGTAAAAGTTGCCTGATTATCTGAAATGCTGTTGAAAGCAAAAGCCTTCTTTGAACTCTTATAAAAATATAGGTTATGGTACAAGTTATAACAATATTTAACCTAGTATAAGCAAATCACTTTATCCTTCCTACATCTATTTTGTTGCTTAGGCTTATGCGATTGAACAGAAAGATAGCTTCAAAATAAAAGTGAATCGTACTTATCGATGAACGAAGAATAGCCGACGCCACCTCAGCACTATCTTCACGTCTTTCTTCTCCTTCATGTGACGCCCATTCCATGCTTGTTCCTCCAAGAAAAAATTCTTCAATGGAGTCATGACCGCAGTGACACATTTTTAAACTGTGGAATCGAGATTGAATTGCATCATAGGAATTCAAAAACACTGTAAACGCCAGCCACCATCGTTATGCACATTGAAAACAAATATGGTTCGGTATGACTTCAAAATTGAGAGTTTATGGTATAGAGCTGCAACCAAAGAACGAGATTTTTACGAGGGTTCTTTCCATTGGGTAAAGCCTTGGGAATGTAAGAACGAAATCTAGGATTCTCAATAAGAATCGCTGCATTTTAAACAAAAGAAAAATTTCGCATTGATATACCAAGATATCGGGATAAGCATAGTAAACGGTCAAAATCAAACCACATTTTGCACGGTTGAGAACACAAAGAAGTCAGATAACGTCATTCTTGATTGCTTGCCGAAATTGAAAATGTATCGGTTGTGTCGGCATGAATCAAGCCATCTATACCAAATCATTTAAAGTTTAATGACACCTAATGATTGGCTCTGATATGCTGTTGGACATCGCAAATGTACAAGATCGGTGTGATGCTGATTAATGATGGTAAGATTCAAATGAGCATCTTTTGCATCACACTGAAAGATTAACAAACGGTTTAATAAATATGATGTTTTGTTCTGGTTAAGTAAAGCATACATACAGAAGAAAATCGAAGAAAAGATTTTCCTGATAAGTATAGTCAGTAATATTCAGAACAACAGAGCTAAATTATTGTCTAAGTGGCGTAGTTTCAGATGCTATCTATTCTAAACAATGGGCGCAGCACGAGGCCCGGATACAGTGTCGAAACAGGCGTGGTGAAAAGAAGTAGCAGATTCATCATCAATTAATGAAACAAGAGACATGCCGAATGCCACCTCCCATTATTAAAACGTCGTGCACAAGTACAGTATGCTGTTCTGGGACGTAAATGAAGTTCCGATTCTTAGACGAAATCTTGAAAAAATTTCACAAACAAAAACGTGATCAACAATTCTGACTGTTCCCAAATGTTCTATAGGTAAACGGCTCATTAGTTAATTCCTATAGCATCCATTAACGAAATTGTGATACGAAATTTTTACACAGGTTTTTGAAATTCGTAGCTTGGTTGGTAAAAAAACAGGAAGAATGATTTACAACGTAGGGGAGGAGATATCTGTTATCATTATAACACTTATATATACGTACATAAATAAACAACTGTACTCGAATTCAATTTCAGAATCCTTACCTGCGCTCCTAGTGGGGGACGTATGTTCAATGTGCCCCGGCTTCGTCTTCAGTGACAAATGACGCGAACAGTAACCACGACGCTGCGATTCCTGAAACCCCTATTGAATTTCACGTAGTATAGTCATTGATGGGTGTAGTAACCTTAGCGTTGTGAAATAATATGTGAGGAAAACTGAGTCGCAATGTAATACTGCTATTTGTTTTTTGTATTAACACGACAAGAAGCCGACGTTCTTCGAAGGACAAGAGAAATAAGGTTACCAGAGGCATCACCGTTGTCGTACTGACTGCCTGAGAAATTTTTGAATGAAAACAGCCTAATGAGTGAAAAATTTTTAATGTCAAAGCCATTTTAATGTCAAAACAGCGCATTTTATAATTTGCTGATGTGTAAATCCTAGGAATTATTTTTATTTTAGAACGAGCACCAGAAATCCTTCTTAAGTGGGACACTTTGGCACCGATACTCGCCATATGATGACTCGCGCCTCCGTATATTGGCTAGCAGTGGATTGAACGTGAATCGAGAGGACACCTAGTTCCTTTTCAACAATGAACGTAGATTCAAGAAACGGCGTATTTTTTTTGCACTGAACTGACGTATGGTTTTCATATTCATGTAAGCGTGTCAATTCCGTGCACATGCTGGCGTAAATATGCATCGGAATCTCTGCTTTTATTTAACTAGGAGTCTGCAATCAGGTGCGTAGAAGGGGTACGCTTTCGTGATTTTCTTCAAAATTAAGCTCTACATCGTTGAATACGCTCAAATCTGAGCATTGTCTCTCCTGACTGAGCTGAGCTTTGGAAGCTACCCTTCGGCCCAAAACAATTCGACGCTTCTTGTGCTTCTCGTGTTTCTTGAGCAAGATGAGCAATTGGACAAATTTGAAGCGTGACAGTTACGGATGGGAATCTACTCGTATCATTCTATTCTAGGCATTCTATGATTAAATGGATTACAGGTGATGTCAGTGAAACAATAAGGCAGCGAATTAATAGCCTAGAAAGAAAAGTTGGTGAAAGAATTGTTCCAGATTGTTAGGTTGAGGAGAAGTTGCTACCAACAACTTTGATAGTTGCCCGGATCGGCGTACGGTGATGAACACGTGATAATCAGAACCAGACGGCGGTTCACTGTTGGACAAACATGTTACTCAATCAATTGAATACGATACTCATGTCCACATACGAAGAAGAACAAGGTGATGGCGTTGATCCACCTTAGCCGATTGACACAAGTCTGCTTTGCAAACTATCTTGTCAGATAGGTTGAGAATGATCATCGTATATTGACAATAATATCAAGCCGAATAAATAGATAAAAAACCATCTACAGGAGGCTTACAGTGAGCACGGTCGTCATCGAGTAGCTTTACTCTTAGAAGACTTTCATTTCATAGGAAAAATTCATCGCAGCCCTTACTCGCAGACGAATACCTTACTAACCACAATAGAAAATGTAATAATCAGATTAATGTTATTCCAGTAATTCCTCTGCATGAATTCCTCTTTTCCAGCTTTGCTGTCTCCTAGATATTTTCTCTAAGCGTTGAGAAAGAGAATGTTTTACCAACAAACATTGAGAAAACGACTCTTCATTTTCGCTTAGAATGGCTTTTTTCTAAAGCTCGAAATAATGTGCACCTTTTAAGTTGCTTGTTAAACACGAAATTGTCGAAAACATCGATCACACGGCACTTACCAAACAAAGAAGAACACTCGAATTTATGATGACAATCAGCGTTTGCCAATCAACGGGCAAACAAGTGCTGCGACGTGAATATTTTGTTTAACAAATAGAACAACGAAACGCAATACGTTTCTTCTGGAAAGTATTTTCTTCTTTTTATATGATGAATATCGTGTGAATGTCCGAGCTTAGATAAGAACGAAGAAACGCAAAAACAAAATACTCTTCGCCCTACGAAGATTTATATGATCGCATAATCCTGAAGATATGACCATGAAAATAAGCTGAAATTCCTACTCATCAAGTCGATTGTAGCATCGTATTATGAACTTCCTATAGCGCATAGTTTTAAGGGAAAAATTGAAGCTTGATGAAGCTAAAAAGAGCTACTTCACACCGAATAACAACAAGAACGATGACGACTTCGCTCAGCACTTGAGTCATCATGACATCATTCCTACCTTATTACAGCCGTCCTTAGAACATAGTCGGCGCCATTGTTTTCCGTTAAATTTCTTCCGAATACCGCCTGGATTGGTGACGATTTCGCCTTTTTTATAACGTTGCTGAAATAAGCGATTTTCTACCAAAATTGCTCCTTGTGGAAACGACAGCATTTTAGTCTTACGGATAATTTTTCAATCCACATCGCTGTTTTATTGTTAAAGCTATTGTCCATAAGAATGTGAAGATTTGACACAGATTCACTAATAGTGTCGTAATACCGACATTTGCTTTGTGAAACAAAATTCACAACGCAGCACAAATTGTTCGCCACACATCATCAGATGCATAAAATTTGTGTCAAAAGTTTAGACGACAATGGTCCTTTTTACATCACAGCTGAAAAACAGAGCTATTTAATCGCCTTTCTCATTTTGCTGTTAGCCATCACCTAAAAACGTGATAATCTACCGATACAGTTTGGGTGACACATTCGTGATCGATCCTCGGCCTTTATCGCTATCGCACTTCTTTAGCATACTGTTTGCATACGGTAGTTCTTCTTGTGTGCTACCTAATTTTCACCATCCCTATTTAATTTAGCACATCTTCCACTTTGGAGATGATCACAGGAAACAGAGAAGAATATTTCATCTATCTATCTTCTCACATTGATAGTTAAACAATTTATACAATTTGCGAAAACGTTTTGATGAGCACCACCTTAATCGTGGCGAATACGTATAATAATTTAAATACATCACTTCAATAACATCACCTTAATAACTGCCACCATGCTGTAGTTTATGAATCATTTTGCACTCAAAGTTCAATGTAAACATTGAAAAATGTTTGATTGAATCTAACTTGTGCTCAGGACTGGATCAAAATTCAAGGCCCTAGAAGCGTAATGCACGATCTGCGTAATTCAACATAGTAATTGTCCAGCTTTAAAAGCTTTAAAACTACTATTCCATTATATCGTATTGTAGCTTGCTCCATTCTCATGCATTTAGTTCTGTACAACAAATATTTACAATATCAAAAGATAATATATGAACTAATATTATAGAAACACTAGTAATAAGAATTAGTACGCAACAATTCTGCATTTACTGTATAACTCATCACTGTACCACTAAAAGTCTCCATAATACCACAGATTGCGTGGTTCTGTGGCGAATACGTATAATAATTTAAATACAGATCAAAAGACCCTTAAGTCCGGTGGATCCAGTGGCTGGGGCTCCTACAGGGTACTGGAATAACCAATACATTCGGTATGCAGCTAATAAACTTGTGCTTTGATGTGCGTGTACATATTCAGATTCTATCCTCTGCACTCATTCAGAAAAAGCGCACAGTCAAGAGATTGCGAAATATAGGGTGGGCTTTCCGAGCGTTCTAAGATAAACAAGCGCCACTTTACCTCAAGAAAGTCCAAGTTTGCATTCCAGCCCTGCAGAGTTGACAAGGAACAACCTATAGCCACCTTCCCTCCAAAAAGAGCGTCGTACAGTAAACGTAAAAGCCCTCATAAAAAAAGTGTGGCTTTTTTCTCGTGCCTCTCGAACAGCGCACTGTGCAACTTCGCTGCGCGATGCGGTGAAATAGAGAGTTTGGTGGTCCCCTTTTTACTCCGATCAGCGAAATATCGGAGGCGCCGTGTGATACACATGGGATCGATCCTCGCGTCCGAGGCCCACCTAGCCCTCCATCCTTCCGGGGTCGCCGAATTGGTGCCAGACTTGTCTGGGAGAATAGCAACATTGGTTCGACACATCGGCAGGTCACCGCGTGTCACTGTAAAAACCGGATATGCACTCATTCACCTACAAACTCTGATTAATGAAGTCGAATGCATGGCGCCTCCCTCAGGGATTGATCAACGCCAAGGGCTTTATCCTTTTTTCTTTATATGGGATCTTTTATTATGCTTCAGTTACCTTATCTTGTCGCTTGAAGTTCTGCGGAACCGCATGTGATCTAAAAGCGAAGGTAACGACAACAAAGCTTCCATCTATGATAACAATTCTAAGTCACGGCACCATTTTTATGTGAAGAATCATCTCAAAACGTTACAGTATTCTCGGAAGTAGGCACGTGGAATATGACTCAATAACGAAAGAAAATTGAGTAATTCGCATGCTTCAAATTTGTTCGTAACTTCCTTGGCTCTCTGACTAATTTCGGGATATTTAACATGCAATTTTTCTACTACTTTTTCGCCTTCACTGTGATGTATAATTTATGTATAACGCCCTGTGTCAGTGGTAAGATATGCGTACAAACACTCGTCATTCCGCCATTTTACGCGTTGAACTGTCTTGTTTTAACCAGCTTCATAGTTCTACCACAAACACTTTTCCCACCTAGTAAATTTTAATCTTACTGTGGTATTCATCGGCGTAAAAATGTGTGCTGTTTGGGCGCTAGTCGATGGATCATCGTCGAACGTCACTGCTTCATGAGGGGGCACGAAGAGTCGTGGAGGAAAGGCAGCATGACGCTTTCGAAATCCTGTTAGTTCAGACCCAGCAATGGAATCGTGCTGTAAAAGTGCATGAATGGTACAAAAATGATATGGTAGTAGGCATTGTCCAGAGAAAGACAGAAACATTGCATTAATGTTACAGCACTAGCACGACGCATGCAATGGAATTCCAACTGTAATACATGCCAATTCAGATTTTTGTTCTTGTTTTCTTCAAGTGTTTCGATAGCACTTTAAATATTGACCAAATTAATGGACGATATCAGGCAAAACTGTTTCATGAATACCATAACGTTCACGTTCGTTACCATGAAACAAGATGACACGGAAGAGAAATGACGCGATAAAACTCCATTTCCATTCAGAAAAATTAGGTCCTCAATGAGCTGTACCTGTTGCGATGTTCCTTGGTCATCGTCCGAATCGATACAGCCGACTATTGGTGGCTTCGACCCAGATGCTTGCTCGCAAAAGCTGAAGCGTAGGACATTAATCTCTTCATCTAAACTGTACTATTTATAGTCAGGCTTCAATATTCCATAATAAAGTCACGTATTTAATAAATCTAATTTTCTCAGCAATGAATATATACAGATTGCGATGACCGACTGAACATCAAATTAGTGTAACAGTTCTGGAGAGCGGATGTGATTGCTATGAGGCCAATATGAACAATTAAATTTAAGCGCATCTGAATATCATACTAAAAATAACAAATTATAAAGCGCCCAAATTTACTTCATCCTCAATAGTAGGTAGTGAGAAATTCGTCGTTAATCTACATCCATTAATCAACCTAGAGATGATTGACTGCATACTTGAACGTTAGACTGACTTTCAGTAACCTATTGATGTATCCTTCTACGTCAGTACTTTTGTTCCTCCAGACAAGCTTGGCACTTATTCACCGATTAGTCCAAGGAGTGGGATTCAATTAAGGATCAGGTCTGTATTGCAGCATACTTCTGATCACTGTGCTACAGGAATTCTAAGCATTATGATAGTGTATTATTTGGATTCGAGAGCTGAGTAGTGCAGTAGGTGGTGATGCTGTCGATCAGGAAGGAAATGCGCTAGTTGACACTTTCCCCAAGACTTTCCTTCCATCCACATAGGAACGCCTCAGACCGGCCATCTCCAAAATTGCACGGAGAATCGACTTGGCCAGCATTCTACAACATTGCGACTGCTAAATTTTCGAAGATCATTGCGCACGATGTATGCGACGAAGCAAATCGAATGCAATCGTACTGGGGTAAGTGCAGCAGATGTCATGACAAGCCATGTATAAAGAAATTATTTGGCTTTAATGCTCCCCAGTGCTCATTTAGTTGTGGTCTATAATAAAGCTCTTCATGCAGTATAAGAACACCACCTAATGTAAATGAGAGCCGTATCTTTTCATCATGAACGTGGGACAATGTCTCCTGAAAGATGGTAACACACAGTTACAGTTGATAATAACCCCCACTAATCATAGATACCTGTTCTGATGAGCTTGAAGTTGCTGTTGTACATGTTGTTGTCGAAGAGCAAGAAAGGTAATGATGCTTTCTGGAGATAGAGGTATATTTGGCATTATACCATTGGTGGAAGGGGCTGTAAGTGGTGAGGCCAACACTGATTGTGGAGTAGTCGTTGAACTCGACCTGAAAAGAAAACAAATGAGATTTAATGAAAGAGCAAGGAGGGGATGTTGTTTGCTTGCTTAAAGTATTTCGAACCTATGTGATGAGACCAATGCAAGAATAGAAATGAAATGTGAGGTACTGTGAGGATTACCGTCTATGTTTGACTAGTTTTCTATGAAGGGAAACTACCTAGCATCGCTATGTCGCGACTCAAGTGTTGCCATTAGTTCTTCGTACCATGGTGGCCGAAGCAGGCGCAGATTCGCTCTGGATACACTCGAGTCACATTCGGAAGACGTAACTCGGACCTAAATTGCGAAAGGTTCAGTACGGTACGATGTCCTTGAAACGCAAAACGAACGAATTTTACAACCCGCCAATATGTCCTTCGAACGAACAATATCAAAAAATTGGTATTAGTATTTGCCTATAGAAGGAAATGATTCAAAAAAGTAAAGATATAGTATACAGTCGATATAGCATTTGATGACTTCCTGAAGTTTATTTTGAATGATTATCAGAGTTGTGCACCATTTGCTCTAGTTATCGCTCGATACCCAATTGTTTTACATATTCAATTGCTTTAAGTTGGTATAGAAATACTAGCGGTTTTTGCAGAAAAGAAATGAAAACAGTATTATAAAGCGAGTTAAAACGATAAGGCTCTTGGCGTTGATCAATTCCAGAGCGAAGCGCCATGCATTCGACTTCATCGTTTGGAGGTGATTGAATGCATAATTGGCCTTTAGAATCACTCGCGGGTGGCTTCCGATATATTGAGCCAGTGCATCCTCCCTGAGAAGCCTGGTACCTATTTGCCGATCACGGGGGAATGGAAGGCTTGGGGGGCCGTGTGCGCAAGGATCAATTCCATGTGCGTGCTGCAGGGTGCCGCCGACCACCGCGCCCTTTTTTAAAATCCCTTTTTCTTAAAACGAGTTAAGATGTAGAATTGCCCATGCTTTCCACTAAGTAGTCTTTAACAGACTTCGACTGTAATATGGCTCTAATTTTTTTACGTGTACATCCAGAAAATTAGTCACGAAATTACAAGTCGGTAACCGGTAACAGTAGCATTAATAGCCGTTGTATCCAAATCGCTGAAAGGATAGTCTAATGGTAGTTGGAAAACCATTGTCTTTAAAGTAGCGAGAAATGGATACTAATTGATAGCATTCTTGTAGATACTTAAGCAATATCTAAACAGAAACACTTTATATAAAATACCATCGGTAATAGATGTTCGAATGTCTGAGCGAATTAAGCCACATTGTCAATCTGTGGAAGTACAATGGTCGTGATACCGAGCAATACACTGAGTGTGCTTTCTGGTTGGAACCTCTCTCCATGCCAAGCAAGCCACCATACCTCAGGAAGCGGCAAGTCAGTCCCAGACATGTCTTAGGAAGACTCCCTCCGTTCCAAAAAAACCTGCCGCTGACTGAAGTGGGAAACCGTTTAGCAGAGCTATCCCAGGTTTCCAAGGCCACTCAACCTCAACTGACATCGAACGACATCCATGACGAAGAAGAGACCTTTAAATAGCAGCCGAATCCACACGTAAATCCGGAGCAATTCGTAAATAACGAAAACAAGTAGTCGGAAGAAGTGTTGGGATTGCACAATATGTGACCTGTCACATAAAGAGTTATTTTGTCCTTACGAACTGCCTCTAATGAAATGACACCCCGATTGGTTGATTTGGTCTGAGTGAGTTTCGTTTATCATCTAATGTGAAGAGCAAAGAGGTGGTTTCACAGCCTAAAAACACATACGTATAAAACTTGTGAATAGTTCTTACAGCGACTGAAGTGTATGCGCTGAGCTAACACAAGATTAATAAAAATGTTTATTCGGCTAACGTTTCAACGTCTTCATTTTCCTTAGAGCCGATGATCCGAGTCGATGGTCCACAGTCATTCGTCCTCTCCTTGTGTCTTCGTCGTCGTACCGAGTTGGATTTTCTACAGTGGAGCACGGCTGTAATAAGGGATCCTCACCCGGCAGCCTCTTTTATACAGAACGATTGTTGTTGGTATGAATATCCTTCGGTAATAATTTATTTTTCAACGAACAATAATCCATCCTGCAGCAGTTGCCATTATGTTAGCCAGAACATAGTAAAGAGCAAAACAACGAGCGTACGAACGACTGCTGGCCATCGACTTGGAACATTGGCTCTGAGGTAGACGAAGACGTCGGAAGATTAATTGAAAAACATCTTTGTCAATCACATGTTAGCTTTACAAACCAGAAAGGTATTGATTAGTACTGCCGAGGGTAAGTGACGACCTGTTTGAAAATATTGAGTTTCATGCGTCGAGTTTTCATTAAGATTGATTAAATGTTTATCTGACATCATTTAATCATATAGATAGTATTACCTCTCTACTTCGTCTCGGAAGAAGCGGAAGTCGCCTTTGCTATTCTCATAAATGTTAATCAGAAGCTAAAAACTTTTCGAGTCTTGTGAATGAGTAATTAACTATTGACTTATCACAAAATGTTTGCCCAAGGCACAGGTAGCACAGCAATTACAGGTACTGTATTACACACTTAGACGCTTGTTCGATCCTCACTCTGATGAAACAAGCCGGGCCGCCCTTTCGGATTTAGAATAATGCTACCAGACTTGTCTGGAAAGTCAAAAACACTGACTTGAAGCATCGATATCGTAAGTCAATGCACAGGCCAGACATGCATTCAATCACCCTTACGAAGTTGAAGAAGTTGAGTTACAGTCGCGTTCCGGCATGAATTAATCAACGTCGCACGCTTCATGCTTTTATCCTTAGCATTAAAGATAACTGGCAATTTTTCGTCAACTTTAGACCACCAGTAAATATGCCGAATAGAACAGTAACGAAAAATGAACGAAAGACCCGCATGGTGTGGTGGTGAACGCATTAACTCCCAGAAAGGGTAATAGCGCGTTCGTTCCCCACCGCAAACACCTCCTACTGTCAGCAGTTTTGCAAATATCTCAGCATCATTGCGGCTGTATTTCACATAATACCCTGCCGTGAAAAACTATAGTAGGCAGTAAAAAAAAAGTTAACATTGTGATTTCGTCGACAGCCTCGGATTAGCAGGGTTCAATGCCGATTTGTGTTGCGCAGATAAATCTTGTTGACGGGTGATTGCTGATGGCAGTGATAGATAGAAAACAAGAAAACAATTTGAGAGAAAGGCGAAACGAAGCACCCGCATGGAGCGGTGGAGAACACGTTAGCCTTTGAAAGCGATAATAGCGTACTCGATCTTTGCCGCAGACACCAGCGGTCACGAGATTTGCAAATATCTCAATATGTTCAATGATGCTAAGATATTTGCAAAACTCCGGACCGCAGCTGTCTGCGGTGGGAAACGAACACGCTACTGTCCTTTCCGGGGAGTAACGCGTTCACCACTACACCATGCGGGTCCTTCGTTTCGTTCGTTCCCCACCGCAGACAGCTGCGGTCCGAAGTTTTGCAAATATCTCAGCGTCATTGATGTTATATTTTGCAATATACTCTGCCATTAAAAAGAGTTAGCAGTAAATAAAAACGGTTAAGATTGTGATTACAACTAAGGCCTCAGCTTAACTGGGTTCATTGCCGATTTGGTCTCCCCAGATCAATCCCGCTGACGGGTAATTGCTGATGGCAAAAGATCGATAGAGCAAGCTCAGAGAGAGGAGAAACGAAGGACCCGCATGATGTGGTGGTGAACGCGTTACTCCCCGTAAAGGACAATAGCGTGTTCGTTCCCCACCGCAGACACCTGCGGTACGGAGTTTTGCAAATATCTCAGTGTCATTGAAGTTATATTTCGCAATATACCCTGCCATTAAAAAGAGTAGGCAGTAAATAGAAACGGTTAAGATTATCTCACTATCATTATGGAAAAATGAATAGTTCAGATCCTGATAAGCATACCAAATATTTAGCGGGCGTGCTAGAGATCGAAATAAGCTCTGCTGTACGATACACGTTCGGCTCCGTTGGTAACCGTACACATACCATAGTCTTGCTTTTTATCTGTAACAGTGATCATCATATAACTGACAAGTTGGAAGAAGTCCTCACAAGCAATCTTCACTAATGCGTGATTAGCCTTCTTGAAGCGTGTGTTTAAACGCTGTAGTCTTCGATGAGATGTGTCGCAATTATTCCTGCATGATCTATTAAATGCACCGAAAAATCAATCAATAATGTACATTATCTCGTCCTTTTACCTACCTATTATTAAAGCGTAGTAGTTTTGTTAAACACCACAGTTTTTTCGAACCACTCTGTATTGATTATAGAACAGTCTTCTCCGTGTAGAAATTGCAGAAGAGTTTCCTTTTAGATTTCAATGTTATAAACAAATAAAACTACGTTAACTCTAAACGTAGAATCTATTACGCAGTTTTCTACGGGCAGATCGTGAGAATAAAGGTGAGGACATTACTTCATAGACTTTAACGACTCAATATCAAATATTTGAAGTTGTATTCGAATACCAGGCAAAAGTGCGAGTTGTATGTATTCCTGCCTCGCTTTTTCTCGGCAAGTAACGAAGATGTTCTTGTCATATCTTACTATGGTAAACTCGCTTGTTATGGCGAACTAGAGGCAGAAATGTGATATTCATCCGGACTTCACCTCTGAGTAGGTCCACATAAGGTGAGGTTGAATTTAACATTTATATTAAAGAGCGCAACTAAGTAAAGGAAAGGAAGTCAATGCAGGTATCTCTACCGCACTGGAGGAAACTTAATGGAACTGCAGAAAATTTTTCTGAGATGAACAAGTATTGTAGATTTGGAAACGAGATTACCTACAGTTATTCGCAGAGATGACGGAAAAAGCCAACCAGTTGAATAAGAAAACCTAAAGCGTACTAAGAAAATATGGTCAGCATACCACTATTCGGGTGAGTTATATCCAGTATCATTCTTACCATTCCAGAATAATAGGAATGCATACATATTTGTTTTCGGCTGTTCCAGAGTGCTAGTAAAAGTCGATGTAAAGAATTCTAGAGTGAACGCACCATTGAAGGACTTGGAGCTTGATCTGCGATAATGAGATTTGAATTCGTTTCATTCATCACATCGTCAAATCTTAGCTCCTGTCCATCATCAAACTAGAACAAAACGGTTTAAAATAAGTTAAAAATATAAAAACAACGAGACAAGATTTAATGAACTATAATATCAACGGTGCTTGGTGCACCAGCGCAGTAGCGCGCGCTTACCTTAGGCTTCACGTATTTCGGAGTCATTCTGCAGGGCCTGGGCGACTTTTGAACAGTTGCTTTCCTACGATTTTTATTTGATCTGTTATTGCTGCGAAATTGTCGTAGAAATTTTTTCATCTGTGATCACAACACCACCGACCAATGCATGGGAAATCACGGCTTGTGATGAAACTATGTTTCCGTCGAGTTCGTCTGAATGCTTGAATTTCACAACTTTCTAATACTAGCTCCTTTTAAAACCATACAGCTCTTAGCGCAAGATATTTATGACAAGGTGTTGAAGAAAGTCGATTGACGTCCTCGTTGTTCGTTTATGCTACCACTGGAGCGCGCGCTACTGCATTGGTGTAAAACTCAAGCAAGAATTCCGATTTAGATAGTAACTATTATTATGAATATTTCAATAATTGTAACCTCTCGTTGTCAATTTAGAAAAAAGGATTTGATTAGAATCATCTAACGAATACTCACCTGCACCACTACGTCTTTGTTATCGTGAACATTCTTGATAGAACCCGGTTGGTAACCACCACTGGAGACCCGTGCCAATACCCGCGTGCCAAGCCATTCAAGAAGATTCACTGGAGGTGAGAGTCCTTCTTCTGCATCTGAAGAACTTATCCAAAAAAAGATATTATGCTTACTATTTTATATGGAGATGTTCTATGCTCCCATATTTTTAGGCATCAACATTGAGCGTTACAGCGCCGTCAACATTTATGGGACGCTCAATTGAAACACAAAAAAGGTCATCGATTCAGCTCGGACCTACTCCTATCAATCCACAAAATGTCTCTGCTATGACTATTTTTTTTATACTCCTATGTCTTTTTTTTTTCAGGAAAAAAATTTGATGATATTTTCCAGTAAGGAGTACAAATTTGGAATTACTTAATGAAACAACATAAAAACACTTTAAAACTGAATGATCACAATTTTGCTACAGACACGATGCCACTGCATTGAATAGGCATCGACGTTGTGAACCTTTAGAACATTCTAGAATTCTATTCAGCAATAAATGTTCTGGAACAGCCTATAACTACGTGCACTCGATCTCTGACAAAAAAGTTTGGAACAACTTCACATTTTGCTTTCCAACTTCTTGGAATTTGATTGACTTCTTGCCAAACTCAACAAACGGAAAGCCTCAAATCACTGGTTTACCAGAATTTACAAAAGTTGAAATTTCACAAATACTATCCATAAACTTTGCTTTCCTAATCTGAAAAACGAGACCATGTAAAAGGAAGAGCAAACTGAGTAAATCATGATGCATACCAAATTAAGACCTTATCATCTACAGCATATTTCCGGAAATCATTTAGCTGAGTAATAATGAAGCAGTAGTGTCACAGATAGTATCTCTGGTACAGTATCCATTACAAGGCTACAGAAGTTAGTCTCGCGCTAATTAATCATAAGATGCGTGCTCACATTAAATAAACCTATTGGAAATATGTAATGCTGCAGCATGAAAAGTTGCAAAACTTGATAATCACATCAAAGATCTTTAATATTCTCGAAAGACACGGTAGAACTGACACTGGAGCCTCAAATAGGAATCTACTCCGTCGTATCCAGACGATTTACCTCACGTACTCTTCATAACACACATTATCTGATAATAACTATAAAATAACCTGAATTGTTCGGAAAATATTAGCATCAACCCTCCCTTTGCACAGATTTTCCACGTTTTCACATTGAAGGTATTTTTCACATGCAAACATGGGTATGCGGAAAAGATTGATTACAATGGTGTCACTGCTGTAGAGCGTACTGTAACGTGGAGTAATGATTACTTAAAAATGGAAGTGTCATTACACCTGATTCTCGTCACTTATAAATGGCATGATTTTTTTAAAAGACATTCAGTAATGATGCGCTAGTGATGCCTCTGAATTCGATATATGTTCAGAAATGTGAAATGTGCTGTTTAAAACAATGATAGAGATTTCACTTTAGGGAAAAAAAATAAGCGGTAGGAAGGCATACGCTTTTCATAAGTCATCATTTTGTGCAGAAAATGAACTCATGCTTTGTCATTTCATACTTGAGTTAAAAGCACAAACATACTGGGTGAGTATGGGTGTGAAACGCCGAGTGTTCGCAACAATTCACTCGGAAATAAAGATGATGTGGAGGGAAACCGAAGCGCATTCACCACGGCTGCCGATGCCAGCTCCTCTGAAATCACAAACTGTGCTATCCAGGAATATCTGGTCAGAAGTTTAACTTCAGGTTCATTATTGACATGTTATGACCCAAATATGGAATGGTTGAGGAAAGAAAGGCCACAATACACTTCTAGATTTCAAATTAAGGAAATATTGAGACGCTGATAATAGCAAATTGGTGAACGACATATACTCTCACTCTGACGGGTCCTGTGAACATGGAAAAGGTCATTGCTGAAAATATGTGCTAAGTTCTAATAATTCAGTAAGAGTCTGTCCCACAAAAGGATGATAGAAGAGAACTAAAGAAATGTCTTATCATCTCTCCAATAATTAGCTTCACTTTAAGCGTTCAAAGCAGAAAATGAACGCATTAGTTACTAGTAGTCAGCCTAATTTTCACTTTTGTCGTGCACCTCTCCGTGGTGAATGAAGAAAAAAGAACTGAGCACGATTTGCGAGCGCCCGCATCAACTACCCCTCTGAATTCTGGTTTCATTTTTATCGTGCAACTACTACACTCTCTAGCACTACGCCTACGAACACTGTTGGTCCACTCTCGCGATCGATTCCTACTACGAAACAGTTTAAAAAAATGAGGCCCGCAAAACGCAAAATTGATCGATACGTTGTCGGTGCTCTCGGAGTTCCATCATACAAGCGAATGTTACCGAATAATGGTACAAAGCAGTAAGTCCCGAGCAAGACCAGATACTACAATCGCCAAAAAACCGTCGTTGACGGAAAATTCTCGTGAAAGAGGTAAATAATTCACTATTAAAAGGACAAATACATATTGCATTAAAGAAAAACGTTCTTAATGACTGCACTCTCTTAGAGTAAAGGATGGGTATTTCCTTGTAAAGTGAAGTGATGCTTTGGCCGTTAAGATAGTCGATATCAGACCTTTCCCTCATAACAGATAATGTTGCCCAAGCGTCTTTAAGTTAAATTAAACCGGCCCACTTTTCGAGTCTCTAACACTTATTGCTGCGGTTTCCTAAAATTTTCATACGTATAAAAAGGTATAAAATGGTGTACAACGCCATGAAATTTGTAACATCATGGAAACATTTGAAACACGGAAACTTCAGTTTTATAGTAAGATACGAAAAGAAATGAGCGTATGTCAAATCTAGATAGCTTTTCTCGTGTCATATGTAGAATCTGGTCGTTCTCACCTGTAATACATATGTGAAGATTCAAAGGTATTACAGCCTTCAACAAACATTATGCATAAATTTATCAAAATAGTATGAAATCTGCATGGATCGATCCTTACGCAATCGTGCACACTCTTCTATGTGATACTTCCACCTAGGATAAGATGATCCGACAGGAACTTGAAAAAGAAAACAGAGAGAAACAGAGCAACAGCTACTGCTTCAAGACCTACGAACTATTTGAACGATTTTTTTAAAACATGGTGACTAGTCAGGAGTTACAGAAGAAGAAATGGATGCTAAATACAATGAAAAAACAGTTCAAGAATTGATTCTTCATGCTAAATACTGAAATTGACATTAAAATTTTGAGCTATCTGCACAGAGGTTTTGAAAGATCCCCATTCTTGAAATGATAGTGCATCATACATATCGTGCGTTAACAGTAGCGCCCAACAGCGTTTTCAGCTGAGAAATCGTTGTGATTACAGTTGTCGAATAATATGTATAATTTGCATCACATAAGGCGTGTTTTTGTCCATCTGCCTTCGAGAATTCGTTGAGTACGGTATGACTTTGTGATTCCGCGTCAAAACCGCTACAAATTTATCTGTCAACCATACAGCACCTTTTCACACAATATGGTTGAAAAAGTTTCATTAACTGAGCAACGAATCTTTAAAATCGAACAAATTGTAAATACCATAATTCTTCTAATTTCTATTTCAACGTGGTCTTCTCATGTGACGAAAACGCGGAGAGTGTATCGAGTGGAAAAACAATGCATATTGTTCTACATGGAAATGTTTGAACCATCGTCACTTTAAGGATACTGAGATGTGAGAAAAACTCGGAGCGTCAGTTGGGTTTCGAACCCACGATTGCCCTTGCAGCAGGCTTACGCGCAATCCACGACTCTAACCGTGACTCTTTTTTTGTCTTTCTCCCAATAATGTTTCCATTCTGTCGATGCTTTCAGCAACCACCCGTCAACGGGAATGATCTGGTGAGTACGAACACCACCCGAGGTTCCAAATTTTGCCCATACCTCAGCTCTTTGTGGTTGTATTTCATATTGTAGCCTTGTCACGAAGGAAAAAAAGGACTAAGAAGTGAAGGTTCTAACTGCTAGATGAAAGGCAAAGCATTCTGGTTACCGTCACTTTGATGTTTAAGTAGAAAACGAGTGGTGGGTGGATAGCTCTAAATGAAGTCGTACACAACAAACTTACGATTACTGTGGCTGGATGTATCATCTATAGTGCTTCGCTGACTAGCAGGAAAGAGGATACCGGCTGCCTAAAACGTAGTGTCGAAAACCTTCACAATTAAAACAGAATTCGCCACGTCGTCTAAAGTTTTTTTCTATAGAAATTTTGTGATCGCAGGTCAAATTTTCTAATTAAATTTGTTGAGTATTTAGACAGGCTTTCACAACTTTTGTATGTTTTTAAGGACACAAGGCACTACTACGTTTTCAAATCATTTAGTCTTGGTACCTTTGACAGCCATATGAATAAACTAGTTTTTTGATCATGAACAAGTTTGAAATTGGGTTAAGGATAAGAAGACCATAATTCTCATGACTTAGTTTCCACTATGGCAATGCCAATGCGAATGTAGAACAATCTTATTTCGATATTAAAAAGCTATTACACTTGTTGAGAACATATATTAGCCAAGAAATTCATTTAAAAACACGGAGAGAAGGTAAAACTAAGCAAATACTCACCTGACTAGGAGACTCTTCCTGCTTTTCCATTTATGAATAAAAATCACTTCGCAGAACTCCTAAATGCATGTGATATAGGCCAATAAATGATAATGTCTAGAATCATTTTAATAAATTCAATAAGGATATTGCAAAATTTCTTTAGTCTGCTTCATTTGCCATTTTCTTCCTAGACTTCCTAGCAGAGAGAAAACAAAAAAAGCTTAGGCATTCTCCACCTGCAGCCGCGAATTCTGCTGTTGCATCAGAACTGGCAGCACTAGAAGAATAGCGTCAGCGTCCCCCTAAACGGGACCTGAAACTTCCAGATCTGTTCTGTAGCTAACGAACAGTGAGGATGATGCATTACGCGACAATTTTTGACAAATTACACATGCCAACGACTGGGTGAGTCCATGCTACTACGGTATCGCCAATTCGCTGCAATGGAGGAGTATGCATCTAATTATTGTATGCAACTACAGGTTTGTTGTTCTGATGACAAGTTGAAACTGGTTAATTATATAGTTAGGAGGTTAGCCGACTTTTAAAAAGCAATTGCATAGAACTTTGCCAAAAATATAATTCAGAGGAAAAAAAACGAAAGGCGTAAAAATCTTCTAAGACTTATCGAACTTTACGAGAACTAGACTCTAACTGAACTAAATTTTTTTTTTAGGATTCTTCAAATTTGCTAAAAGTTGGCCGACGGTGCAGTGCAACAATTATGATACGATGAATGTGATCTGCTTAACAAACAATACTTACGTAGACATTCGAACAATTCTTAGGACGTGCCTTGGATGAAGTATAATCTCATGGAAGGATAGAACACTAGACAAAATCACATGCTTTAAAAGAAGATTTGTAGTGGAACAAGAAATCATAAAGGAATATTGTGAAAGCGCCATTCCTTAGCGTCGTCCTCGCGTTACAGAAATATACGTGTAAATGGAGCAGCAGGAAAGGCGAAATGAGTCAGTTTGAGTGACTAATCAAGAAACCAAAAGACGTCTGTGTGCAACCACAAACTATTGTTAAAGGCAGCCAATTAATCGAAAAACTCAACAGAGCATGAAGAACGGTTAGATTAGCGGTACAGGACACACAATAGTGTACCCAACGCGTGGATGGTGTGCGACTCGAAGCGGAAGCATCATCTAGTTGGCAAGCAAATCTCGCCATTAGTCGCCGACACCGGCGGTGCGTCCGTTAGCAAACACGTCTCGTGGAGATATTCTCGTGTTGAAGCAGTGTGAATAAAATTCTCCATTTCTGCATCTCACATGAAACAAGGCACTACACATTTGTGAACCAAATATGAATTCTTCAGCAGAGACTGTGTGCGTATTGCATAGGCTGAATGGGGTGAAACGAAACTCCCGTGTTGGCGTCGCGTTCCGGAGCCGTCATCTTTCCTTTCTCTCCTCTCCTCCGTCGGTCTTATTCTTCTCTTTCTCTCTGTGTTTTTTCGCTTAGAACTTTGCCAATGCATCCTTTTGTGTCTAGAAGAGTAGACTTTTGTTGTAAATCGATAAAGATGCAACATCCTAAAGTTGCCGTTCATTTTTAGAAGATGAACGGACATTTTTCGATGAACATCGGACCCTTGAATCGCTGACGAATAATTTTTAAGTTGACTTCTACCGTGGACGTATGTGATTATATGAATACGTTTTGCATAGAGCCACTGGGTAATGAAAGGCATAGTGGGTGAATAGAACGATTTCAGAACTGGGAACACACTCTCGCGAACTTATCAGGTGGAGAAGGATTGGTTCTAGAAGAATTCAACTATTATAGCCATTAATAAATGTTTCACGGTCTAATGATTTATTATGGGAGGTGTGCACCATAGAGAGTAACATAAACGACAGGAATACAAGACCGAAAGCATACTTTCGACGAGGAAATAAGCTTACAACTTTGATTCTCGACATAATTTTGCTCAATCGCCGTTATTCTAATGATTGTTTTAGAAATTGTGAACAATGAAGAAAAAAGTGTGCTAACATAACAGTTGCATTTATAAGCAGAGCTGCTTGTGACACAGGGCAGGGAACAGTGACACGCATATGGATTTATCCCATTAGTCAATAACAACAACTATTAAAGCAAACTCATCCGTTGTTACAAATGCCTCCTAGTTCTCATTTTTCATTCAAAAATTTCGATCTAAAAATCGTTTTAGAGCGTGCTTTTACTGTCGTAGCATATTATATTATAGCACTGCACGAATAGCTAATTGGGACGTTTAGATCTACGTCACGTAAGATCTGCTGTCAAGAACGACGTTGATATTCAGCTACAGATACAAGCAGATGCATCCGTGTGAGGAAGTGTAATGGAAAAAAATGCGTGGAGTTATCGAGATCCGAGATGTGGTAATGATGGACGTGAGAGAAAAGAGAAGCAATGACGGCAAAGATGATGATGATGATGATGATGATGATAATGATAACGGGACGCTGTTAGCAGGCACAGATGTGAATATGAAGAAATGTATATTAAATGAATAGGTGTCTAAAGTATACATGCTAATAGGTATTTTGTGGACGTAGCCGATGACGCATAAAAGACCTTAAGGAGAATATATATTTTTTGAACGATATTCCTCCATGTTGTTAAGCTACGATGGGAGTTAATTTAAGGTTTCAGGATAACTCCGGCATTTTTTTGTAAATACAAAAAGCCTTCCTTATGGAAGTATGCATATTATTGATGATACATGCATTGATGGAACGAATGCGAAATTTCGATGCCAACTTCAGTAGTTTAGGACTTCACTGGCATAAATGTTAAACAATGAAGCCACATAACACCTTGAGACACCGGCTGAGCGCAGGTGACGTTGGGAATTCATTCGCACTTCTTCCAAATACACTATGCTATCCACTAGAAACAGAAGGATCAAACTACCAGTTACGAAATAGGAGTGCACTCATCAGCGTGGCGATCATTTTCGCCTCAACCGAATGTATCGCAAAAGGGGAGGGGTGTTCTCTTGCAATCACTAATGCATTCGCAACGCACATGCTGCCCGGCTCTCTCTTCCTCCTCGTGTGGAGGAAGTCATTCCACAAATAGAGAGGGAAAGCGCTTGTCATATAGTTGAAGCTGCGTTCAATTGTTCAGCGACTTCTGTGCATTAGGTCAAGCTTTAGTAAAACGTATAGGAAATGATGACAATATACTGTTTTTCGTTCAATATTTGATAGAACAGCACTAGCAGATGAAGCGACAGGCACTGTATATTGGACGCTACATGCGCTACAAGCATCCACCGCTACTGCTCACGCACGATAAAAACTTATCATTACAACATACGAGTTATAGATCGAGGGAAACAAATCACAAAAATACGTGAAATGTGACTGAAAATTTATTTATATCATTTTAATGAGGGAACAAAGAAAATAAACGTGCACAAGAGCGAATTGCGTGTTTGTTTCGCCTGATTGGGTTATTGGTGACCGTGAATGGAGAATGACATACTAGTTAATAAGTATGAGGTACATTTTTCGTGCAAACGACAAAAAACATGCTCCCCTAGGTCTTTTATATTATCAAACTAACGGATGTTCTCCATTCATCATTTTCTTGATCCGCTCCTACTCCACGCATTCCTTTCGAAACGGAGCACCCAAAAACAATTGTTAACTATACTTTATACATAATTCAAACGCTGGTGAATCAAAACAGACTGATAATGAATTAAAAAGAGTGCAAAGAATAAAAGAATGTAATATTTATTGTGTAGAAAAATAGAGCTACTTGCTCAGAAATTTCGTTAAATCGCTAGTCTCCTACATTTTCCCTCTCTCTGTCCCTCTTCTTAGTTGTTCTTTTGAACCCGAACGTCGGTTATCACATGCGAATCGCTCACGGCGTGCATACCTCGGGTAATACCCGCGTTTTACAAACATTGCGATTGCGTTGATTCTGGATACGCGACTCGTCCTCAGGTAAAGGGTTAGAGATTCTAACGCGACCACGTTCACTCCATGCATCCCAAGACGCTGCAGATGAGTTCAGGGAAGAGGCTTTCTGTTTCGGTTGCGTCTGCCTAAGTAATCTCTTCAGCATACACGTAATCGCAGTCAAACATACATGTGTGAGTGTACTTACATATATTCTAATTGTAACTAGAAAACGCATGGAAAATGATCTACTGCTGCTTTAAAAAATAGTAGACCTCATGTCTATTACGAGTGAGAGCGGAAAACTACCTGTGAGTCTATACAGCCTCTCATGGCATGAAGCAGCCGGCATTACCTAAAAATAAAAATGAAAAACCTCACGCGAAAAGTGCGATGCTGTTCATGTCCTTTGAACGAGAAGAGTTCACTAAGCAGAGCTGACGCTCAGCAGAAATGAGTGAAGACTGTGCTGCTGCTTGCTCAAATCACCGAATGACTAATGAGATTACAAGTGGTAGTGGAAGTATATTTGACTGCGAGGTGTCCATAAAAACTAATACCACCAATAGTTATAGATTATGTTGTTTTGCAATGAGCATATAGATAAAAAATACATGAAGTAATTATTCTATAAGATGACACATAATAATGAGCAGCTAATGGAAATAGAAGTGGGAGCGATGGCACATTGAGGAATACGAAGAACGAATGCAGAAACCATTAAAATAGCACTATCTATGCCTTTAAGTGTTGTTCAGAAATTCTCCTACGCGCGCAGATGTATTGGAGTCAGACCTTGTCATCACTAAATATATCAGGAAATCATCGGAACAGAGACGAACGTCTATTCTATTATAAGGCGGGGCAACATGAAACGACGTAAGCAAAAGCGACGATTAACCCGTAGTTTAATCTGAAACCGGTAGGAATTAAAAAGAAATTTCTCCATAATTGTTCATGATCAGCACTGTATACAATGTCATATTTAGCACCTAAAATGAAATCATAGCCTGCCATTCTTTTTTTAATGCTCCGATTGCTAGGCACTTTGTTTCTAAGTGAGTATTTGTCTCGATAATGTTTTCAGTTAGTGGAGTTATTGTTACTATCAAAGTGAAATAAATTGATTTT